TTTATAAATGTAGGGGCAGTTCTTAAGGTGAAGTCAACATTACATCACACTTTGATTTCTACATGTCCAACAGTGTAGCACGCTCGCAGGGCATTCTTGCTGCCAGCACTGCAAACCTTTGTCCCCATCCGCTTGCCAAACTGTGGCGCCAAAGCCTTGAATCATGAAGGAAGTCCAGCTGGCGATGCAGCGGCTCCAAGTAGATTCCAAAGAGGCTCACCTATCACGATCTATCATTTTCCCGTCGGGGTTTGGCCGTGATTGAAGCAGACGGAAGCTCAGAGACTGCGGCAGGCAAAGCAGTTCGAGTTGATTCTGTTACTTGTTACCTACCGTACATCAGTAGTCCTGCCACAAAGGACACCGAAGTTTCCCTGCCACTCCGCCCAGCAGCCGTCCCGCCAAGTAAGTTGAGCTGGAATTCGCCTGGCTCTGGCCAGGCCACTAAATTATGGTAGGCCATCAGGTTCATCATAGCCAGCCCGAAGCTTGTTGATCTTAGAGCATTTGTGAACCATGTCCCGATGTTGCAACGCGACCAGCAAGTATCCCGTGGATCAGGCGCGCTCGGTCCTGTCCAAGGGCCTTCCTCAAGGCTGAAGGGATGTGATTTTTGCCGGGTGCACGAAATCAAGCCTGCCAGTCATCAGTACAGCACCTTGTGTGGATTAGATCCTTGAAGCTATCGGACGCTTCACAGCGGTGCTGCGTAGCCCTTCACAGATACAAGCTTAAAGGCTTGCGGGATTGCAATTTGAATTGCGTACCCGAAGAGCCTGTGCCCAAAGGAAACCCACGTGAAGAGCCTGCCCACCAATGCTTTGCCCTTGAACAACCCACAAAGCACCTGACACAAGGCTGGCTTGTGTGCCGTACTGGTGCATCTTGACAGATAATCCATGAGTTGTGCTTGTTTTGCGACCAAACATCCAAGCATACATGGTTTTGCTAAGTTCGTTACGTCAGATTTGTCAGATAGTCTTGGGGCAGGCAAGGGGCGCAGAAGGCAAGGAGTCACTATCAACGCTTGAGGGGGTGGCCGATGCGTTGCTTGCATACTGTTGTTTTCCGTATGCAAGTGTTGAGAGCTTGAATTGAGTCGTGAGGGAACCATCACTTAATTCTGAGCTCTTGCTGAGGATGGCGAAGCCTACTACCATGCTGCCAAAACAGGTCCGGAGCTTGAGGGTTGCACCGTCGTGGGGGGCAGCTCGCTCAACCTCACATGGCCTCAAGGAACAAGTGCCAGATGGTTCAAGGGCAGTAGAAATGGGATAGTCTAGCAATGGATAGGACGTGATACTCAAATTATCATGGTCCGCCAAATAATTGTCATGGTTGTATTCAGTGACAGTGGCTTTGCAGGTCCGCGTGCCTGATCGCCATGAAAGAATCATTATGCGACCTCTTGTGCTGAGGCGTGTCGCAATGGAACCACCCGAGCCGCGACGCGTGGCTTCAGAGTCCCAAAGCAAGACTTTCATTGTAGGACAGCAGTACTCAGTACTTCCAGTGCCAATCGAGATCCTGACGATTTTGATCATGGAAAGTACAGACTCGCATCAATTCTTAACAGTACCTACGTGACCTATAGAATTTGACATCAGCAGTCCCCATGGTATTGACACCAACAGCTGCACTGACACTGACAGCAGCTATGACAGCAACAGCAGAAGCAACACTATGCAGTCTTGCATGGCCATGCTACATGTAACGTCATGCCTGCTACATTTAACGTCGTGCTTGCGCATGCGCTGAGTTTACACTCGCACAAAGAGCTCAGTGCAGGCTTTCCAGTGTTACCGGCATGCAAGCACGACATAGCCCGACGCCGTCATACAGCGCGTTATTTCTGGCGTTTAAAGGGCGAAGTACATGCCGCAATGGTTCGGCAGAGAGTTTGGCTTTTGAAGCAGAGCTGAGGATTGGACATCGAAACACGTAGAAGGCTTGGCATCAGGTCTAGCAAGACGTTCGGAAGGCGCACTGTTGGCAACTAAGTGTCGCAATCCCGTCATGGTGGACTCCCCTGCATGTCTCTGATTCGGCTCCGCTTTTTCTTTGGCTTAGTATGTTGATTCAGACTCCTAGCTTGAGGCCTGGCTATGTGAGCGTTTTCAGCAGCACATCGTCATGCCTTTTTTTTTTTTTGAAAGTTTGCTGTTGGTCTTAGCCTCGAGTTTTCTTCCATGACTTGCAACTGTGAGCTGGCAGATCTAAATGGCAACGTGAGGGCCTGGCAGATAGCCGGAGATTGCAGCTTTTGCGAAGAATTTGCGCATCTTTCGCAATGTAGGAGCCCAATGGCTGCTTACTTTTCTTCCTTGAGCTGAGTGGGAGGGCTGTGACATCCAGGTAAGGAAGCAGCGGGCGCCTGCGATCTGGATGAAGACAAGCCTGCAGCGCATTCTGTGTATGACGCCCGCAGTCGTCATGTGGAGCTGAACACGCCTGGCAGCCTATTTTCTGCTGCAAACAACATCCAGAGAAAGGACATTGCGTCACGGACTGCAGATCTATGCTGAGCAGGTAGACACTGAGAGGAGTTCTGACAATCTGAGAGCCCGCTAAGAGCATTCCAGGCACCAATGTATCATTTGTGCACATGGTATTGGGGGGGCCAGTCATTCAGGCTTCACTGTTAGTATTGATTACTATCAATTGCAATCGTTATTACTATTACTAGTTCTGTTACTATTACTATGACTATGCGTGGTGTGAGCCCAGGTTGGGCGTGCATTCGCACTGCGCGGGATTCTGACGCCCGAGGAGGCGGCAGCCTACGTGGCCTCCGTAACGATTCTTGCCTTGGCAAGCCTACTTGGGGTTTCCCAAAATTTGGGATATATAGGAGGGTTTCCCAAAAGTAGAGATACCTTTAAAGGGGTCTATAGGGGATCAAATCTAGGGTTTATAGGGTTTAGGGAAAAGCGTAGTAGTAGTTCTGGTTCCCAGTATGTGCCTCCGGTTGCATACCACTAGTCAAGACGACTGGTGAAGTCCCTGCTTGGAGGCCTGGAGTGGGGCGGTGCGAGAAGCCTACTGCAAGAGGGTTTCCCCAAATGAGGGGTACCCTTTACGGGGCCCTGTGATAAGGATTACAGCATTTTGGGCTCTATATTCGCGTCTCCCTATCTAGGGAAATTTCCACGTTTGGTAAGGTACCAGTTTAAAGCTCCGTATGGTTCAAAGGGATCATTCAGGCTTTTCTGGACGTCTTGCTTGGCATCCTTGGCCTTGTTTGCCTAACATAGCAGGTGGGTGATCCATGAAGAAGCCCTAATCTTGCATCACTTAGCCTCCATCTAAGCCCTCTATATATATATATGTTCCACGAATGATAAGATTCCTGTGGAATCATTGCGTCTCGCGCAGATGATCTATGATTATGTCTCCCTCATTGAAGCAAGGAAAGCTGGCTTCGGCCAAAGCGACGTGGCTCGGGAGTTTCCAAGCTCGCTAAGAAATAATTCTCGGCTGATCCACTTCAGCGACGCCTTGGCTCTGGCCTTGCCCCATGTTTCCATTAGAACAGGGTTTACAGGGGCTTATGAGTGAGGAAGATTGGGGAGGCTAAAGTTGTTCAAATGCTGGTGGAGTCTTGATTGAACCTTTGCAGCAGGTACTGTTTGTAGAGTTTGTGTTCTTTGTGTTTCATGAGCTGCCAAGCCAAGGTACAGACGGCTAGCACCACACCTTGTGCATCGCGACGTGCCTGGGCCGCGCATCAAAGGGCGTTGCATGACCAGGGAGCTTCCAAGGCATGGGTTTCAGATTTGCATTGCGACTGTTTTCGTTTTTTTGCGTGTTGGGTGCAGCTCGTTTGAGGTGTATCTTGTGCAACCAATGGGCTTTGGAGCGGAGGGCCGATGGTGTCTCGGCACAGTTCTTGTTGCTGCAGCCTGAAGTATCATCGCATCCTGCAGGAAGCCTGTCGGCGTGAACCCTTGCTTCCGCATATCTCAGTACAAGGAGGGTTAACTGATGAGGGTTCAGGTTCACGGGTGCATCAGAATCTTTGAAGGTTTGTGCTTGGCAGGTGGAGAGCTCAGACTTGGTATTTTTCAAGCTTGGGTCCCCACCTTGCAGGAGGGGGAGCATTTCGCCACTCATTGTGACGGGATGTATGCGAATGACGATGACGAGTGCAGCATCTACTCGCTGATCCTCTACCTGAATGAGGACAGCACACGGGTTTTCAGGACTTTGGCTGAAGCATTTACACTGTTTTGTGGGATTTCTTCTTGCAGGTAGGCTTGTGAGGGACACCCGGAATGTCTCACACATTGCCTTCCTTTCAGGCATGATACCCCACAGGTCTGAAGAAGAATCCAAGGACGTCGCCAGGGTGAGGAACTTCAGACATGCATGCACAACAAAGCTTAGGGAGGCAGTGTGCGGATGCACTACCCTGCTGCTTCTGCTGCTGCTGCTGCTGCTGCTGCTGCAGGCCATCCCTGCGGCAGGACTACGAGGGAGGTGAACTGGAGTTTACCGAGTCTGGAAAGACTTTCCGGCCGACAGCAGGAACTGCAGCGCCAGAAGCAGCATCAGTCCCGGCGTTGACAGAAGATGCTTCTGCAGAGTGTCGGTGTGCGCTGCCATAGATTCAATGCGCATTGTCATTAGGGTGCGGACAGTAAAGCGACATGTCCCAGTGCAAAGTATAGTCTGCAGCGCATGTAACATGCATGGGCGTCCTTCCTACGAGATGCAACTTCATCTTAGGTTCCCATCCAAATCAAGAGCGCAGCCAATGGGGAGCAATTTTGTAGGCATACCCCGTGCTGTGAAGTGCCGTTGGGTAGAGCTACCCAATGTGGATTCCCAGCGAACCTCGCATGTAGGCACCTCAATTAGTAATGTGGCGTCTCCAAGGTGCTCCTACCACACGACCTCTCGCATGCTGCGCGGGAGGTGGGGAGCTGGATGAACAGCATAGAAGGAAATCTGCTCAACGCCTTGGTAGTTCCCAAAGCTGCATTGAAAGCGTGCAAGTGCAGTGCTGAGGGGGGAATTTTGGCTCCAACAACAGTGCCTAACCAGTGTCACGGTTTATGGCGCCCGTGTTGACATTGGCCCTTGGGAGGTGCGTAAGGGCGCCAAGTACGTGGCCCGGAGCGAGCTCCTTTGCTGTTTGCACAGTGCACGGGGCACCTGGCAGCTGTGACTTATGGGCGAATCAAGAAAGCAGCTGTGCACTGAAGCCTCTTGTTACGGAGCACTTTCAACAATTCAGCACAATGGCAAGACTAGGAGCAGATTGATCAGAGCCCACCAATCAATGGTGGTACCTGCCTAATTTGACCTGTGACGGTAGGCGACATGCGCAGGTCACTCCTAGCCGTTCCCAGCCCTTCCAGGCTCATGTTTCGTTGCGTGAGCCGCCGCCCGCCGCCAGCGGTTCCCCAGCAGTGTGTCAGCACTTAGGTTTAGCAATTTTGCAGGCTCAACACTCAACCTGGACAGAAGTGTTTTATTGAGAGGCATGGGCCAATATTGCCAGGTGAGTACCTGTGCTTGGTCTATGGTCTGACTACCTTCAATTCCGAAGCTGAGGAAACGTTTCGTATAGCTTGCCGTGATGTGACGGCCTGGCAACATCACATCTCTGCTGCAATCCATGTCAGGTTCCGACCATACAAGCAAGCCATAACTCGAGCAGTCTTCTGCTTCCGACATTCTCATTTGTGGGCCCTTCGCCGGAAGAAGCTGAGACTGCAGGTATGCAGACGACCCTTTGTTTCAGAGGATGGCGTTCCTAAGCAGCAAGAGCAACATGCCTATGGGCTCCTTCTTGACGGCGGCTATGGCTATCATGTGCTGGTTTTTGTGCACTCAGCAGGTCATCACACAAGTATTGTAAACCCTAACTAATGATGATTAACGGTTATAACGTCTAGAACCACAGGTGGTCCCAATGAATCCAAACACATTTGAGCTCCTAAGGGCGCTCTACGAGCAGATCGGGGACCTGGCTGTCCAGGGCAATGCTCAGGCGACCACGGAGGCTTACCAGGAGGCCAGGGCTGCAGACAGGGGCCTCCTTAGAACAGACCCATCCATGCTTACACTGAGGCGCTTGGCATTCAGATCGCGCACCAGGGCACCGATGTCAAGGAAAGAGCTAGCCGAGCCCTTCCCGTAGAGGACCGCGAAGGGTGCTGAAATGCTGACTAGTAACTAGTACCAATACAAAGGGTGAGGGACAAGAACGGGCCAGAATCCACCAGGCCTGTGTCTGCTACTCGCGAAAGCAAGATTACATTTTTTGCGTTTCGCCCCAACTGCATCATTGAAGTTCTTTCCTTGGACGCCTGAAGCGGGCGAATGCATATCGCAGACACCAGGTGAAAGCTAGCTGATTTTGCCTTTGCTGCGGGTTCCAGAGACTGCCACAAGGAGAAGTCCTTGGAGTATGTCCTGGGCTTTTTGGAAGCATTGGAGGCACGGCCTGAGCCAACGACAGATGTGACTGATGTGTGGCTGGGTGGCTGTAGAAAGTAGGAGCTAGATTGAAGAAGTTCTGGGCATCCTAGTTTTGGGTAAACTTCTTAGAATACTGAAAAGCATTGAGCAGATCAATGTTTCAGGGAAGTAGTATGACCTGGCCCTATTCCGTGTTCTCCGAGCCACTGACGGTGCATAGTCTGGGCGTGCCCCTTCCCGTTTGCTGGTCAGGTCGCGCGCCTCTTACCTGTGAGCGCAAGATGGCACACGGCTTCTATCTCAGGTGCTGACTTGCAGGGAAATGTGGAATTTGTATATCATGGCTGCAAACTCCAGGCAATAGGGCTCGTTGATGTAGTTTACACGGCCCCACATGGGCCGTGTTGCGCAGAGGGCGCTTGAGCATGCTTGAGCTGTTGTTCCTGCTAAACGCACCGCCCTCATGACCCTTTTGAAGGAAGATTTGTGAAAGCGAAGCGTCTGTTCGAATTTGGATGTGTTTACTATCACTCCACGCGTCTGACTGCACGCTGGCGTTTTTTTTTTTTTTTTTTTT